GCGACACATTTCAACCCGCCCGCGGGCGCGCAACCGCAACCGCACCTGGGCGACACATTCCGACCCGCCCGCGGGCGCGCAACGGCAACTTCAACTGGGCGACGCATTTCGACCCGCCCGCGGACGCGCAACCGCAACCGCAATTGGGCGACACGTATTTCAACCCGCCCGCGGGCGCGCAACCGCAACCGCACCTGGGCGACACATTTCAACCCGCCCGCGGGCGCGCAAGCGCAACTGGGCGACACATTTCAACCCGCCCGCGGGCGCGCAACCGCAACCGCAACTGGGCGATACATTTCAACCCGCCCGCGGGCGCGCAACCGCAACCGCAGCGCTCACCTGCCATCCTCCTCCAGGGGATCTGAGGCGGAGGAAGGGTGGGAGGGAGGGGGGAGGGAGGAGGGAGGCGGGAGGGAGGAGGAAGTAGGGGGGGAGCGAGGGGAGACGGAGGGAGGATAGAGAGCTCACAATGATTTGGGGCGGGCAACTTCTGACCCCCCCCGTTCCACGCAAGTGGATCTCCACAAGGCTCCAGACCCTGGATTCCTTATCCAAGGCCTCCACGGTCTGCTAGCGGGATGGGTGGGTTAACCGCCCCCGAGGGGGGAAACAAGGCTTTGACAGAAGCGGTCCGTTGCACCGCCTACTTTGAAGTTGGGGGGCGATGCCACGGGGATCGATTGCGCGTTCACCCACGCGCAAGCTGCCCGCGGAAGTAGGTGCATCGGCGCCGTCTTATTCATGCAGTCTGCCGCGTCGGAGGACTGCGTGAGCCACCGCGTAAGGTCGCCGCGCACTCGTGTGCATGCCCCTTTTACACAAGGGAGCTGAATACACATGACATTGCCGGGCAGAAAGAGGACGAGGAGGACAGGGAGCAGGCGAAGGAAAATGATGCACTGGTGCAGGAGCAGGTGGAGGAGGATGGGGGAGGAGGACGAGGAGGAGGAGGTAAGGAAGGAGGAGGAGGTAAGGGAGGAGGAGGAGGACGAGGAGGAGGAGGCGGAGGAGGAGGAGGAGGACGCACAGGAGGAGGAGGAGGAGGAAGAGGAGGAGGAGGACCAGGATGGCCAAGAGGAAGAGGAGGACGATGGGGAGGGGGATGCCAGGGTGGTGCTGCTTGAGAATGTGCACGAGCAGGTGCTGGTTGCGGAGGATGGAGGAGGATGAGGTGGTGGACGTCAAGGAGGATATGGGCGTGGAGGTGGATGTCCTCCTCGCGGCCTCCGGGCGTGACCCGCGGTTCTTCGCCGGGACATTGCAGCTGGGAGTCCCCATTCCATGCTGTTGCCTCTGATTTCCGTACCCATCTCGGGCGTCCGAAACGCTGGAGGAGGGGCCCGCCGTCGAAAGCCGGCGAAGCCACTGAACAGCCTGCGCTCGTACGTGGTCGGTTGTTTGTGCATTGTTTTGCCGATCGGCGCGGGCCCCCCCCTCTCCTCTCCCCCCCATGGAGTAGATCTTGGCTGTCGTTGGCGCCTGTTGCACACATGTGGAGTATTCCCCATAGGACGCACTGTTGCAAACAGACGCAGTAAACAGAAATCCGGAGCCAGACCCCCCCTTCCCCCCTTCCGCCTAATGTCGGAACGCCGAATAAGTGAACGTTCGTTATTCGGTCGAGACCGACTG